ATGTAAGTTCAGATGACTCAAAGTTAATTTAATTCAACTTAAAAATAAGGCAATTAGTACTTTTTAGTGTAGGAAAAATAATATTCAGCAGTCTAAAACTGGCAGTTCTAGAGCATCGATAGACATCTTAAGTATTCACCAAACACTTTCTTGAAAGAAAGGTGTTAATATCTGCATGTAGCCTACAAAAAAGAAAAACTAGACACATAATTTGTATAGTTTGAACTACAGTAACCTCTAAAATAGTCACTAAATATCCCTAAAAACACTGAAATTGCATACATTTTATTAATAACTTAAGCAGGTCGCACAACAGAAGCGCCGCGACACGGCGCACACATGACAGTTTAAAGTATCACACACCAGACGCGCACATTCGCACGATATTTAACATGAACCTAATCAGATGGCGCTCTGTGGCGCAGCTAAAATATGAACTCCGTCCTGAGTCGTGACTGGGTGCCACCGACAGTCGCCGACTTGTGGTGCCGGTGTGTGTACCCTGATAGAAACCTGTTTAGAATTCTAAAATGCATGGCGCTACGCGGCGCGTCGCCGAGCGGCGCTTCTGGTGTGCGACCTGCTTTAGTCTCTGCACGGTACTGCATCTTTCCGAGGGGCATGCGCTGAAAACAATTGAAAAGTTGGTTCTGGGGTTGGTGGACTGGTTGACGGTCGCGAACTGAAGACCAGGGGGCACTTTAGCTCATTTTGGAAGGACACTTTATAGCCATTTGTAAGTTGACCCCCTGATCCTCAATGTATAATTCACGCACTGCCTGAAGACTAACTGATACCAACATAAAAAAATTAAATAAAAGAAACTGTATTTTAATTTTCACATGACAGCTCAGATTGATGACAAAAGAAGTGATGGCAAATGGAGTGGACCACGGAGTTCAGCAGGTGAGGCACTTCAGATATTAGTAGAGTCTTTAGCAGTCTCTGTATTTGTCCACATTCGAAACACAGGCTTTTAGTGAACAGGTGAGTAAGCAGAAAGCCAACAACAGTCAAGTGCATATCTCAAGGGTCTGACATCAGAGCCGGGCTAAATATCTGACACCATGACTGGCATCTCAGCTTAATCCAAGAGGAAGTTGTTTTACCGTGACCCTCTCCAGTACTCGTGTCCAGCTAAGGTCCAAAGTGTTTTTTAGACACTCAAAGCCTTGTTATTTCTACTAAAGCGATCAGCCCTTAGGGAAAACGTGCTGTAGCAATTCGTTAAACACCTCGCAGCTGCGCTTTGGATGTTTCATGATAAAACAGCGCTTTGAGACTTGGTGCTCGGGCAGCGTCTGATGAACAGATGAAGCCAGTATGGCCCTGCTGTCAAAGACCTGTCACTGCGGTATCTTAGTCTGACAGGTTTGTGCCAAGCACTGTAAGAGGCCACGCTTGCTCGGATTAGACTAGAGAACACGATAAATGCCAACACAGCCACAAATATTAATCTCCAGAGGGAAATAAACATGACTCAAGAGATTCAAGATCAGCCTTGGATTGCCTAATCCCTAAAAGGGCTTGGACGTCTCCTGGTGTGATACGTTGCCAATTTAAATATTATTGGGTACAAAGCTACAATTATTCATGACATATTCTCATCGAACAGCAAATTGTAAGCTAATTTTATCTTTATATCCATATGAAGTAAGGATGTAACAATATTGTAAATACCATCATACCGTAATAGTCATTTTCTTTAATATTACCGTAGGCGCATGACTCAATAAAACTATATTTCTGAGAAAAGTTTGCTTAGGCGAATGAAGCGAACGGGAGGTAGCGGGAACTACAATTCCCATCAGCCTATGCGTGGCCATCATCCTTTATGGTCTGTTGTCACTACAGATCCAGTAATGCGGAAATGGAGTGTGTTGCTAGTAGCGGCCTAGCGGGGAAGAAAAACTGTCTGAAATTATCGAACCTAAAGCGGGTTTTAAATCGGATGTGTGGAAGCATTTCGGTTTCTTTCTAAAAAGATACGAAAAAGGAGAAAAGGTGACAGACAGAAAAAAACGGTATGCAGGCACTGCCAGACTGTGGTGAAATATAAGTCGGGTAATACGACTAAAAACAGTCATGGGGTCTGCAGAACACAGCACACTTGTTAGATTGACGCAGACATTGACTTGTACCGCAAAGAGACCTCTATCTCACTCATGGCTTGTCCTGTCAAGTGGAGGAAAGACAATGCACAAACCACTGCTGTCAACCTGGGCTAAATCATATCTCTCTGTCCCAGAAACCTCAGTCCCAAATGAGAGGGTTTTTTTTTTCTGTTGCAGGGGACATGCCCAGAGATCCCAGCTTTTACCAGATTATAATTATTTGATCATTTTCCTAAAAAAAAAACCCATCTCTATCTAAGTGAGTGAGTGATTAAATGTTGAATGTGATGAGTTTTCAACAGTACTAAATTGAAACTTTATTTTTTTATATAGTTTAATAGTTTTTTGTTATTAAAATTTTAAAAAATGGAATTTCCTGTTTCGAAACTTACAGATGGCTAATCTGTATGTCATTGATATGTTCAGTGCTAAGGTAAATAAACACTTTTGGCACTTTTTTTTTTTGAGTCTTTTCATTAGTTTTGTTTTTCCTGTAAATTATTCAATAAATACCGTACCGTGCCATTCATACAGAGGTATTATCGTACCGTGAAATTCTGATACCGTTACATCCCTAATATGAAGTTGATATTTCAGGAGCAACCATAAGTTGGTGATAGCACCACAGTACTCTGTCGAATGAGTCAAATTAATGTAATGGATGTAGAAAATACCTTAAGGATTAGTTCACCAAAGCAATTTAATTCTATTTTAAATTGTTCACCATCATGTCATTCAAGTCTCAAAACTTTTGTTCATCTTTGTAACACAAATTCAGATATTTCAGATTAAAAGCTCTCAAGTCAGCGCCAATAGACTAGTGGTACTGTGCGCCGACAAATACCACTGATGTGTTTTTGGCGACCCGAGTTCGATTCCCTCTCTACTCCCATTGCTTTCCTGTCTGAAATCTTGACTGTCCTCTTATAATAAAGGTGAAAACCCCCTAAAAAAAGCTTGAAAAAGCTTGAAAAGACTCTTCACAGAGATGTTGAATTTCTAGAATATGTTTTTTATATACAGTATATACATAGTTTATATGTTTATATATATATATATATATATATATATATATATATATATATATATATATATATATATATATATATATATATATATATATATATATATATAAATGGCGGTTCATTTCTCTGTGGTGAGCCCTGATTAAAAAAGGGACAAAGCCTAAAATAAAATGACTGAATGAATGAATTTAAAAGTTTAGTGTGTGTGTATATATATATATATATATACATATATATATATACATATATATATATATATATATATATATATATATATATATATATATATATATATATATATATATATATATATATATGTCTCTTTACTGAGGGGTGCCATACAAATCCCTAGCACTGATGTGAACAATTACAATGAGCAAGTAAAGCAAAAAAAAACTAGTTACATAAGCTACATAAATATTACAGTAAGTTATTACCCACATGCTGTCAGTGTTCCTATGCTGTATTTTGTCCAAAAACACAAAATATGCTTTAATAATGAGGCCGGTAAAGTAAGGTACTTCACATACTAAGGCATTACCACAGCAGTTTGTTAATGAGTAAACCAGAAAGAACTTATCTTTCAATCTATGCTATGCTAGCTGCAAGAACGTCATGCTAGCATTGGTAAACAGATGCGTTTATGATAGCACTTAAATGAAGGGGAACTCTAAGCCTGGCTCTTCACATTCTTTTTATTATCTCCCACTATAAAAGTCGTGGATGAAGAAGGAATGAAAAGCTAGGATGGTGTCTCGAGGACTGCCTGTGTGATTCTTCTCCAGCTGAGAGGCTTCCAAAACACGCAGGAACGCCATTGAGCAATGCGCACTGGTGGAGTTTGCTCAAAGGAAAACCCACAGGCTTGCCGCTGGAAACGGGAAACACCCGCAGAAAAGGAAGGGAGGGGTGTGAGAGTAAAAGAGGAGGAGTGACATAATTAAACGAAGAACTGAAGCGAACATGCATTGCCTGTGAGCCTTCCCTTTCCCCCCCACAAAATGACAGCACTCGAGACGAGCAGGGGGCGTTCTCACTGTACGTATTCTTGCGTTCTGTCAGCGCTTTTTTATTTATTTGTTGTCTGACTACGCATGCGCCAGGCAGCTGATTGCGTTGGGATTTAAGACGGCGCGTCAAGTTGTGAATAGTTCTTTTTAAGTTTTAAAAACGCGTCTGGTGAACGCTTGAAGCCAATATCTTGTGTGAACACAAGATGCGTGCCGCACTGTCACTCTATCATCGCATATCAGTAGCCTACACACACGCACACACACACACATAGTCGGACACTGCAGTGGATCAAGCACGCTCGATCAGTCCAGTTCAGAAAAAAAGCTTGAAGGAACACATTACATTACATGGTTGAAACCAGTGAGGCGATACAATGCCACGTAATCAAGACCGGGGTCTCGGGAGTTGTGCGTGCGGTTAAAGTTGAGACCACTGTTGCTTTCAAGGTTACCCTGGAAGGGACTGCACCGGTCAGGAGCGCATCCGGCCGCTCGCGTGCGTCTGTAGCACGCATGGAAAGTTGAAATGTGATGTACATACACGAGTCAAGCCATGACACCGACTGTACGAAGCGCCTGTCTCCGGTAAACGGGACGTCTCGTACTGAAAGTGCACTGGTTAATGATGCAGCACTGCTGATCATCACTGTGCAGTGCACGACAACACTCAATGCGGAGAGAAACGTCCCAAAACACTTCCTTGGCTGGTTGTTTTTTTTATCAAGCCCTCAGCAGAGAGAAGAACCCAGCCCCCTTATCTTTCCTTCCACAACCCTCCCCTTGTCCAGCAGCAGCAGCAGCAGCGGTAGCAGCAGCACTCATGCTCGGTTTCAATTCCGGGGACTCACCGTTTTTGTGCCCTGATGCCTCTGTGAGGAGACACCGAATGCGGGATACGCCGAGGAGGCTACGGCTCCGCTGCTCCGGGACAGGAGGAGGACCGATCTACACACTTTCGCAGCCATCTCTGAAGTGAAACCCGGCCGAGAGGACGCAAGTGCTGCGGGCGAGCCGACTGAGTCTGTTGGAGGAAAGGGAGGGGAAATAGGAAGGGCTGCTGGGCTGGGCTAATATTTAATACACACGCACACACACACACACGCAACACTACACACACATACACGGTATAGTATACACAACAAATGTTTCACAAGAAGGCTGCTGTACTTCCGCGTTCGAAGAAAAGCCTTTTCTGTTTGGGTGAACCTCTAACACAGTTTAACCGAATCACACACTGAAATGTAAATATAAGGATGTGGTAGACTGAAATACCACGGTCTCTAGGACAACATGAGAGAAGCGTTTTGATTGGTCGATGGGTTACCTGCCGGCCCCGCTTGGAACTCTTTCAACCAATGAGAAGACGCGCATCTCTTTAGTTTTGGCAACTTGAAGAGAACGCCAAGACCGACCAATCAGAAAAAGCGGGACCATCGGGCTCCAGTGTTCTGTCAAAGAAAGAAATATTATTAATATATAGAAGATTTTTGTGAAAGAAATACTATTTGCTAAAAACCTTGCATTTATTTGAAATACATTTTAAAAATATATTTATTTTGAAAAAAAAAAGTTCACTGCAGAAAAAGTGACAGCTTAGGATGGGAAAAGACCCAAGTTTAACTTACTGCATTATCTCCTTTGTCAGCCATGTTATCTTCTTTCATTCATTTTCCCTCGGCTTGGTTCCTTTGTTCATCTGTGATCGCCACAGCGGTATGAACCGCCAACTTATCCAGCATATGTTTTACACTGCGGATGCCCTTCCGGCTGCAATTCAGTTCTAGAAACCCCCATACACACTCATTCACACTCATACACTACATCCAATTCAACTTATCCAATTCTCCTAAAGCGTATGTTTTTGGACTGTGGGGTTAACCGGAGCAGCCAGAGGAAACCCACACCAACATAGGGAGAACATGCAAACTCCACACAGAAATGCCAACTGACTCAGCCAGGACTCGAACCAGCAACCTTTCTGCTGTGAGGTGATAGTGCTAACCACTGAGCCACCATGTCGCCCCACATGTTAACTTATAGTTATTGAAAATAACATATCTCAGAGTGCTTAGACGACCTTTACTGTCAGCTAGCTGGCATTCAGAACGCCATGAATTTTCACAATAGTCGTGAAAGATCAATTTAAATGACTGAGATAAGCAAAAGGTGTTTGTTTGCAACCAATAAAATCATTTAGGAAAAGTCTACTTCAACCAACAAAAGTTAACATTCTGTTTTTATTATTTATACTCTACCTACTCTAAATGTACTGGTCAAAGGTCTTTGCAACATCAACAGCCTGAGGTATCAAGACATTTGTGCTGCCCGTTACATTACAAACCACAGGAGAGGGCAAATTCTCCAGCAGGATAGCGCTTCTGCTCATACTTCAGCCTCCACATCAAAGCTCCTGAAAGCAAAGAAGGTCAAGGTGCTCCAGAATTGGCCAGCCCAGTCACAAGAGATGAACATTATTGAGGATGTCTAAGAAAATCAAGAGTCTTGATGAACTCTGGGAGTCCTGCAAGAATGCTTTCTTTGTCATTCCAGATGACTTTATTAATCAGTGATTTGAGTCATTGCAGAGATGTATGGATGCAGTCCTCCAAGCTCATGATGGAGTCAGACACAATATTCACTCTGTTTCCACTGCAGCATGACTTTATATTCTAAACTGGACATTATTTCTGTTCAGTGACAAGACTTTAGTCTAAGCAAAGTCAGACCTTACTGTCCTAATTAAATCATTAATAATCAAGGCATGATCACATTATATGTTGGTAAAATAAGTGTAATCTAGAGGCCTTTGCCTTTCATATAAGCCACTTTTGATACCAAATGATCAACTAAGGCAACATTTTATTTGTTGTTCCTGAAACTTGGATAGGCAAAAAGACGTTTGTCAGGTAGTGTACATATTCTTTCAGATTTATTTGATGTTAAAAAAAGTTAAAAAGAGCAGCATGTATTAATATAAATGTTTTAATCGACCCTTTTGATCAAGTTAAAGCGTCCTTGCTAAATAAATCATTAATTTCCTTCATCTATCAAAGAAATGCTGATTCTGAAACTTTTGAATGGTATAGTGTATAATGTTACAAAAGTTATATATATATATAGTAAATATATATATATATATATATATATATATATATATATATATATATATATATATATATATATATATATATATATATATATATATATATATATATTCATGAATTAATTTTCAAAGCAGATGCCCTTTCAGTTGTAACCCAGTACTGGGAAACACCCATACACATTCATTCACACACATACACAACTATAGCACATGTCTTTGGACTGTGGGGGAATCCAGAGCACCTTGAGAAAGACCATGCAAACATGGGGAAAACATGCAAACTCTACACTGAGATGCCAACTGGCCCATCCGGGACTCAAACCAACAACCTTCTTGCTGTAAGGCCACAGTGCTAACCACTTAGCCGTTGTGTCGCCAATAAAAAAAAAGATCATTATTATTATTAACATTTAACAGCAATTAGCATATTAGAATACTTCCAGAAGGATCACGTGACTAATGATGCTAAAAATTTATTCATTCATTTTCTTGTCGGCTTAGTCCCTTTAATAATCCAGGGTCGCCACAGCAGAATGAACCGCCAACTTATACAGCAAGTTTTTACGCAGCGGATGCCCTTCCAGCCGCAACCCATCTCTGGGAAACACACACACACACCCTACCCAATTCACCTGTACCGCATGTCTTTGGACTGTGTGGGGAAACCAGAGCACCCGGAGTAAACCCACGCGAACGCAGGGAGAACATGCAAACTCCACACAGAAACACCAACTGAGCCAAGGTTCGAACCAGCGACCTTCTTGCTGAGGCGACAGCACTACCTACTGCGCCACTGCCTCGCCGCTAAAAATTCAGTAATTATATTTTACAATATATTCATATAGAAAACAGTTATTTAAATAGTAAAGATTTGAAACAATTTTACAGTTTTTTGGATCAAATAAATCAAGATCAGAAGATCTAAAACATTTGACTGAAGTGTGTTTCCAAAACTGTATTTCCTTTATCTTTGGAAAATAAAAGTCCTTTGTGTTCATTATGTTCCAATAATGAAAGAAATAAAGTCACGTAGGGACAAGAAGAGCACCTAATGAAGAACGAGTGTTTAATTATTGGATGTGCTGTCACTTTAAAATAACAACTAATTCAACAAACACATTCGATTAAAACCGAATAAACCTACAGCTGTCTGATGTTCCACTGTGTCACCATGTCATTCGTTTGTGCTTCTTGGCAACCCATTCATCCTGTGCATTATATAATTACGTCTCTATTGTTAGTCTGTCCTTCAAACGGTTCTTTGGAGTTATGGGACGAGAAAATGCCAAAGCACATTTAATATACTCTATCAAGGGCCCTAATCCACTTAAAGCAACAGCGCAATACACACTGATTGAAATTCAATCGACTCGTATACGCACACGGTGTTCTCCCGAGTTCCCGAGTGTGAAGGGTTTCTTGTTTATGACTTTTACAAAGATTCACAGCAGCCAAAAAAACAATTGAGCCGTTCACAGATGTGTGTTTTGTCTGCGCAAAGGTTGCATGGTTGGTTACACCCTTGTTCATAAACTGTTGTTACACATTCCAGAGTTCAACCTATGATTGACTGTGTAGTTGTACAACCCCAAATCAGCAAAGGTTGGGACAGTATGGAGAAGGCAAATAAAAAAGTAGTGGTTTCTAAATTTACTTTGACTTGTATTTCATTGCAGACAATATAACGAACATTATTTATAGTGTTTCTCAAGATTTTATTTATTTATTTATTTATTTTTCATAATAAACACATATTCAAATGTTGGTTCTTGAAACACATTTAAAAAAAGGTGTAACAGTAAATCATTTACAACTTTGTAATGTTGCCATTCCTTTTCACAACACTTAAAAGTTGTTTAGGGACTGAAGACACCAAATGTTTCAGGTGTAATTTTGTCCCATTCTTCCTGCAAATTAATCTTAATCTTATGCACATCACCTCAAAAAAAAAAAAAAAAACAGAGGAGAATGGCCCTGAAGCACACAGCATAAGGTAAGAGATGACTGCTGTCTGTGCTATCTGGGGCTGCTTATTGATCATAAATGTATTGTTTTTACTTCTGCGCTATGGAAACACCACGATTCATTCGGCAACTGTTTGATATGCGATTATAATTCAGTAAAAAGAATGCTAGAACCGTATGAGCACTGGCAAGAGTTTTATTTTAACTATAACTTGTACATGCGTCATATGAAAAATATGAAAATGAACCAATGTAAAATACCCAAAATGGCGAGGCAGTGGCGCAGTAGGTAGTGCTGTCACCTCACAGCAAGAAGGCCGCTGGGTCGCTGGTTTGCACAGCTGGCGTTTTTGTGTGGAGTTTGCATGTTCTCCCTGCCTTCACGTGGGTTTCCTCCGGGTGCTCCGGTTTCCCCTGCAGTCCAAAGACATGCAGTACAGGTGAATTGGGTAGGCTAAATTGTCCGTAATGTATGAATGTGTGTGTGGATGTTTCCCAGAGATGGGTTGCGGCTGGAAGGGCATCCGCTGTGTAAAAACTTGCTGGATAAGTTGGCGGTTCATTCTGCTGTGGCGACCCCGGATTAATAAAGGGACTAAGCCGACAAGAAAATGAATGAATAAATGAAAATACCCAAAATACTGTGTATTTTAGTGTAAATGACTTTTGTACAGTAGAATAAAAACCAAAGTGCATACAATATATTCTACACTTTCAAACGAAACCACTTAAGGGGGTCTGGTGCAATGCTAGCCCTTTAAATCTAAGCAAAAGTCGATGAGTTTAACTGGTTAAAAAAATTGCTCATGTTCAGTTATTTCAAATCATTTGTCTTTACTACATGGTCTGTACTACAGCTTCTGTCTTTTTAAAGTGCTAATTCTGAAAAGCTGGTCAGATGGCATTTGTTTTACCTTTGAGCCCTGGTATCTCAAAGTGTCTTCCCCACC